GAGAAGACAGTGATCACAACGGTTGTTAGAGCTTGTTACATACGACACTTAGCAACAGTGATGTCATCAAGTTTTACCACTCATCGGTAGCTGAACACAGCAGTTGCGCAGCAGTAGAAAAAGGTTGTCTTGTCGGTTCCTAATCCAGTGCTCGTTGACTTGTCATAAGCTTGCAATTTTCTGAGGTCTGTTACTTGAGGCCCTAGCCAGCTCTTGAAGGGCAGTCAACACAGCAGTGGTACCTCGGTTTGTTTTAGTACAAGTTGGTCGACATAATCCATCTGTCGCGGGCAAACAGTCATACGTAAACCGCGGCAGAAACAGGAAATATGAATACCTGGCCAGAGCTTGGCAGATCACCTCTCATCATGCACCTCTCTACGTTGGTTATGCGCAAAATTAAAGCAATGCGGCTGTGGCTGGGGATTGGAACACTGTGCATCCATCTCTAAAACGCACGCATGAATCCAGCTGTCTCCTAGATTAATGGCACGTATTCTCATTTATAAGCGCAACTATGCAGGCCGTTGAATGAGACCCTTTGCCTTTGTATCTGGAGTGTGCCTTCTCTAGCACCGTAGCAGATCAATATGGAACCCAACAGGCTCTTCCTTGAATTGCACTTACAAGAAATTCAAAGCATTAAGCTCCCGAGCATATAATCCGGCGTTAATTCCATCATCCCGCCCCACCCGTCCTACTCCATCTGCTGCAACCAATGACTTGCTCATTGGCACATTATAGAATGAGCATCTTCCCCGCACGAATGTTCTTCCTTATCAGGATGTGGCAAGTAGCAAGATCCCTGAGAGCACGCTTCAGGGTTTGCCCAGATAGGCCAAAGTGGAGTTTGACAGCTTGGCTCCTCCCGAGAATTCCAATGAAAAACAAACACCATCACGAGTCGCGAGCTCCAGCAGAGGATTTGAACAGAATGAGCATTTCCGCAACTGTTTTTTTTCACTCATCAGTACACATGAGCAAAGCTTCAGGGGTTTTGGCCAGACTCCACAGTTGTGGAGTTTCCATGCTGTTCCTCGACGAGAATTCCCCATCAAACGACACATTATGAGCAGTCAGTCAGAGAACTTTAAACGAGAAAGACGAAGTTGTGGAAGTTTTTCAAAGATTGGCCCTGGAACAGAGGCTATTCAAATTACTGCTTTCCTTGGTAATTGAACCACAACCAAGAGTATACTGACAAGCAAAGGACTATTTGGCAACTCCCCATTTATCAAATTTCTCACTTCTTGCTTTAAAGCAAACTGACGCCGATCCTATCTATCCGCGAAAAAAACACCATCTAGGTTCGAAAAGTACAATGCCTTTTACACAAGTGGTAATCATAATGTATCAATAAAGTAACAATCGTTTTGCCTGGTAATTCATCATTTCACAATAAAAGTATCACCAAAACACAGCTTTAGGCACTATAGATATCCACCAAAGAGAACGCCTCACTGACGAATTGAGTGGGATAGGATAATGAAAAGGGCTGAAATTTCTAAACAATCTACTGATGTCGCTAGTAATCCTAATTCAGCTTCAAGCGCAGAAACCCAGATGCACTTAACCCTTCAACCAAAAACCAGAGCCTCTTTAAGCACAACTGAACTTACTGTTTGGGATCTAGAGATTTAGGGAGAGAAACTATCGGGGTTATTTCATTTATATCTTCGAAACCTTTGTTTTTTGAGGGGGCCTTGTCGACGTACAGCACACTACCGCCCACATAGACATGGGCCAACCATCTAGTTCTACAAAAAATGCCAGTAAAATTTTGTGGGCCCCAAACCAAAAAAAATAGTCCGGGGGATTGTGAGATTGTGTTTACAGAAGAGTCTTACATAAAGAGGAGCTAAGCCAACGCACATTAAGTAACACTTAGCTTCCAGCTTTCAGATTGTCCAAATCCTGCAGATATTGCTACAAGAATGTTCAGGCATTATCCTCCATCATCAAAGTTCAGACTTCGCAGCTCGCAAGCTTAGCAACACTTTCGGGAGCAGGCTCCGCAGAGCAAGCACTAGAGAGGCAGCAACTAGTCAGCATGTAATGGAAGTATCAACTGTCAGCATAAAGCAAAAAGCCACATACAACTTCATTTTTTCGAAAAGTGTGCTCATTGTTTCTGCCAAGCCTATGCATTTCTTCAAAGCATCAATACTCGTGTAACAGAATACCATTCCTAAAATCGCAAGACAATGCTCATCATCAAGTTCATGGATCGCTACCGAGGCAGAAGAGTTCCTGTGTAGTGCAGAATCAAAAAGAAGTGAAACTAATCTTTTGAATAGGTCCACATGTAAGTCCTGTAAAAGAATACTATCTGGCTCCACATCTAAAATTTTTTTGGTTTAGAGATGGGTAGGTGTGCAATTCCGTTTGCATGACTGTAGAGAGTGCATTTTCATTTGATGATAAGCTTAGATTTCCCAAATCGAACATAAACCTAATAATAATAATTAGATTTTTTTTATGGTATTTAATTAGATTTCCCAAATCGAACATAAACCTAATAATAATAATAATAATAAATGGACTATTGGTAAGTTATGATTCTACTCTCAGAGTATTTCTTATTGTTCTTAAGACACCCTGAGGCTTTCTTTTTTATTTTTATTTTTTATCTTTTAAAGTAATAGGGGAAAGGGATTTGAATTTGGACATGCCCAAGTCTTATATATACTATTGGTTGTTCTGAGGCTGAAGTGGTGAATTTTTGTTTTTATGAGCAAGAGCTAAACATTGAAATTTCATTTTAGGTGGATGTCAAATACAAGTTGCCTTTTAATAAATATTTATTTATAATCTACATATTGAGAATGTTAATTTTAATTGTATGCGTAGATAATTAAGTTTTTGATTTTTGGATTTTGATGTTATGGTATTTAATTAGATTTCCCAAATCGAACATAAACCAAATAATAATAATAATAATAAATGGACTATTGGTAAGTTATGCATTCAACTCTGAGAGTATTTCTTATGAGTAATGATACGAGAACTAACCCAACAAGTCTTTTTGATCGGAAATTGCAAGTTGTTGGCCAATTTTTTATTTATTTTTTTTTTCGTATTGAAAACTTGAATTAAAAAATAAAATTGATTAAATATTAAGTGAAAATCACTTTTTATTATTTTCAAGTAGAGTAACTGATTTTTCTATTTAACCTATTAAATAACGACAATAAAAATATTTTCATTACAATGCATCATTCTTTAACAATTAATATTCTGCCTATAATTGAAAATACGACATTTGATGTATGATAAAAATAATTTTAAAAAGGAGAACTTGGAGATGAAGAAAAAGACTAACGGCTTTTGGTTAGTATTTTAATCTACGAGTGTACAATTATAAATGAATAAAAGGAGTGACCAATCGACCATACTCAGCTATAAAAAAAAAAGACTATTGGAAATGCAAATTAAAAAAAAAAGACCTATTGGAAATGCAAAAATTCCATCACAGATTGATGGGAGACTGGAAATTGTAGCAGAAGGCTCTCAGCTTGCTTAAATCCCTTACTGGGTTAATTATGCTTACAGTATTAATTGGAAGAATAGTTAAAAGTTCAATTAAAATTTTTAACTTAAGAAACAAAAAAAGGAAGACACTTGATTCTGTGCCAACATCCACAAATCTTACTTCAAATTAAAACCCAATCTTCATTTTCCGTTTTAATGTGTAGGAGCTTATGTAGACTTATTGATTAAAATTTAGTTAGATTGTTAATGTTAAATTTAATTTTAATAATATGGATTTTTATAAAATAAAGAAAAATTATAATTAATCATAATAATTATATTTTCTTAGTATATATGAAACTCAAACTAAAATAAAATTTGACGTCCAAAATTTTTAACACCAATCAAGATTGTTACAATGGTTTAAAAGCTGTATGGAAATGATATTTTGGATTAACTTTCATTTTTTTTCAAAACAAAAAATGTTAACTTTTATAAGGCTCATAATATATTTCTGGAAAAAAATACGCTTTGAGTATCTAAGAAAAAAATACGCTTTGAATATATCCTAATTTGCACCTTTTCCTTTTTGCTTTTCTTTTCCTTTTTGTTTCTAAGAAATTACTATTACATCCTTAACAAGTCACCGGTGGTCTTTTCGTCCCAAAAGTTCAGCACTTTATTATTAGTTAAATACACTTTTTAGACAGATGGCATAATAATCTCTCAAAAATATGGAGATGGAAGTGTTAATTAGGTTATAAATTAGAGACCCAAAACAATTTTTTTTTTTCTATTAGTTTTGGTATTGCAATAATTTAGTATCGTATTTAAACTAGTTTTCACAATAATGAAACATGCCGATATGATCAGAGAATTCTGGCTCAAATGATTCACTGAATCTAATGATATTGAAATTCGACAAAATTGTTAAGAAAAAAGAACACCTGTCTGATGGCATTATAATTTTCATACAATCAAGCTGCTACAATTTTATTTTACATTCATATATTACATTTTATTCAGGAATTTGGCACAAAAACTGTTATCATAAGCAAACTAATAATCTAATTTGCATTATTCATAAGCATGGCACAAAAACTGTTACATAAGCAAACTATAATAATCTATTTTTGCATTATTTCAAATATAGCAAACTGCATTATTCATAAGCAAACTAATAGACTCGAACTCTTGACTCTATGCAATCACCTAGTATAGTTATTGGCCCTGAAGAACCATTGTTGACACCAACATCCTCTTTTTTCTTGTCTTGTGGCACCAAAAGGAATTATTACAGAAATGTTGAATTCCGACAACCAAACCCTAATAATTTAATTTACATTATTCATAGCAAACTAATAGACTCGGACTCGGACTCTGACTCTAGGCAATCACCTGGTATAGTTATCGGCTCTGAAGAACCATTGTTGATACAAACATCCTCTTTTTTCTTGTCTTGTGGCACCAAAGAAGGTTTTGGAGGCAATTTTAGGTTTTCAAATTCTCCTTCCAGCATCTCTATAACTTCATGCATGGATGGACGATAAATGGGTTCCAATTGTATACACCAAAGAGCTACTAAAGCTACTAAATATGTCATCTTCGTTTGTATTGTTGTACTTTCTCCTCCGAATCATATCTCCACAATTCCATGTCTTTTCCTTTATTGAAATTGTTTCATAAACCATGTCGGAAAATAGACTTGGCTGACATGCGCAGGCAGCAAATGCATTCAAGTGCTTTCTTCTTCCCACCATTTCCATTAACAAAATCCCAAAACTATACACATCAGCTTTATGAGATATACTTCCAATGTTCTTGTAGATTAGTTCTGGAGCCATGTAACCCATTGTTCCCCTCGCTGCTATGAGACACACAATACTCTCATCGGTCGAATATAATTTTGCAAGTCCGAAATCTGACGAATATAATTTTGCAAGTCCGAAATCTGAGATTTTTGGCAAGAAATTTTCATCAAGAAGAATGTTATGTGGCTTGATATCAAAATGTAATATTTTCATATGACAGCCTCGGTGAAGGTAGTCAATCCCGCGAGCCACTCCTAGAGAAATCTCATACATTTTCTCAATGGTTATCAAATTGCTACGTTCTTCTGAAAATATATACTTCTCGAGAGATCCATTAGACATGAAATCATATACGAGAGCACGTTTAGATTTCGCAGCATAAAAACCAACAAGACGAACCACATTAATGTGACGAATGCTCCCAATTGTAGCAACTTCATTGATGAAGTCTCGACCGTTACCTTTGGACATGTTCAACATTTTTACTGCAGCAAAATTACCACTCCGGAGTTTTCCTTTGTATACAGAGCCAAAACCTCCTTCTCCCAGCTTTTCTTTGAAACCGTTTGTTATCTTACCGTTTTGTTATCTTTTTAATTTCATGGAGTACAGAGTATCGTAATTGGGAAGATTGATTATCATAACTTTCGAGAAAGAAACTCTTCCAATATTCTATCATATTTTTGGATAAATGGTCTGCCTTTGCCATTTTATAATCCAAAAGGAGAGAGAAGAACCTATCATATCCCACATAAGCGGTTAATGTTGCACAAACGATATAACACTAGGGGCAAAAAAATTGACCAGAACAATTTGTTAGCAAAACTTATTGACGAATTAAAAACAGTGATAGCTTGGCTTAAATTATAGGAAGGAAATTACCCTTACCAAAGATAGAAATATAATAAGGAAGCATAACCCTGGAAAGAAGTGAAAGAACAAAAAAAGTTTATTAAAGATGTACCAAACTAATATAAAAAAGTTAAAAGATGTAAAATATGTAGCCATATAAAACTTGACACATTGGCTTAAAAATGTTTGTGCTTTATTCTTGTCATTATTTAATCCGTTGAACATGGAACTATTCGCATTTCACTTCTTAAACTTTCTAATTTCAACATATTTAGAGCTAGCTAATCAGGAGTGGTCTGGTTAATCTTCTCACTAATATGAACAGTGAAATATCTTGAATTTAAGTCTTCTTAATCATATGAACTTATTTTCTTTATTATTTAGCTTTTGATTTCATGGAAACGCATGAAAAAGAATTAGATAATGGATTTTGGCAAACCTTTGATTGGCTTGCATAACTTATGAAGACTCTTTCTCAGTCTTCCAAAGCTTGTTCATAAGCTTTCCTTCTTGCATTTGAGTCTCTCACTTCAAACAAGTAAGTTTTAATCCGATCTTATCCTTCATATCTATGCTTAGATTAGATGTTCTTCGCGTTTATTGAGCCTACATTGAGCTATTGTTAGAAAACTGAGGATTATGAGATTACGTTGAGCTTTATTTTATGTTTATTAATTACACTTTTTTCTAAGGATTTTTTTCTTTCTTTCTTTAAGGATTTTTAAGTGTTGGAAACCTTGAATTTCGAATTAATGAGAAGCTTTGACATGATGCCCTAGATTATCATTATAGCCCAAACCCCTCCATTAAAAAATAAAAAAAAAAAAAAGTGTTCTTTATGTGATTATAAATATTCTCTACCCATAGCATAATCTTGTAACATATCCGGCATATCTTAATTGACCTGCCGTGCATTTGACAAAACAAAACATTGAAAAACAATTAGCAAAAAGAAAATGTAATAATATATCTTTTTTTCTTTTGTTTTCTTTTTGAATTAAGGTGATTAACAACCGTTATTATATTAAATTCTAAAATTTATCTTTCAACACCAAAATTAAATAAATAAATAAATAAAATTAATTAGAAAATCAATCTCAAAGTTTGATTATCTCTTTGTTTTTCTATTCCAAATTAAATAATCTCAAAGTTTGATTATTCTTGTTTTCTATCCAAATATAGCACAATTAAACTTGCAATAGAGTGTAAGCATCCTTACCATTGGGAATTCGGTTAGCATACAGGTCAGCAATCAACCCTGCCAAAATAAAAGAAAGCCCAATTTAAACAACTAACAGGTGACCAAGAGAAAATAATTAGAAGAGGCAAAAAAAAATTGTCCAACATTTAGAAGGGACAACATCGAAAAAAATTGTTGTTTTACTGGTAAAAAGTAAAATTTTCTATATTTTATAAGGTAAATTTAAAAAAAGTAAAATAAAATTAGGGAGGTCGCCACCACAGCTGGCCACCCCTAATTCCATTATTGGTGACCAATCAACACTGCTTATTAATGAAAGCTCTTACAGAAATAGAACTTACCATGCGCATCACTAAATATCGCTCCTAATCCTGCATCAACACAAAAAGAGCACAAAAAGATTTAATTTTTTGATTGTGCATGTCAATTAATGCAAATATGATTATAATAAAAATGAATTTGATTATATTCAAAACAAGTTTTAATTATTACAAAGGCCACCAGCTTCAGGGAGGTGCTATGGATATAATTCAAATGTGTATTATAATTCCCAAATGTGTATATTGAATTAGTTTTCTCAATTTAGCTATTTTAACTATAAACGATTTTCTTATAGGGCTGTTGATTTTTCAATTTTTATTTTGATTATTTCATTTGTAAACTTTACCTGTAACTATTAATTTCCATAATTAATCATTAATCAAGGTTCAATTTCCCTTTTAGAATTTGGGGCTAAGAAAAGAAGGAAAAATTAAATCTCTAGGAATACATTTACACATTACCTAAAAGTTTTGTTGATTTTTTTTTTGAATGACTAGCCAAATTTGGTGTGCTATATATGATGTTAGTCCAAAAATTTGATATTTTATGCACATCATATATCCTAATCTTTTTACATCACAATGAGCAAAAGGCTTTCAATTTCTTAACAAAACAAAAAAAAATTAATAATAAGTTAACTTTTGAAAATTCAACAAACTAAACTATTATTTTATTAAAAGTAAATAATAAAAATTATTATGTCATTCTTTTTAGCTACAAATTTGGTCTTTGTAGTAATTTGTTGTAAATTTGTGAAAATAATTATATAAAAAATTAATTTATTTATAAGTAATTCAGAGTGCAAATTGAACTTTATGTAATTCAAATTAGAGAGAGATTAATATAAAATTCTCTCAGTATCATCTTTCGTTCTCACTATTCTTGCTACGGGAAACCTTGAAATGTAAAAACACATGTAGAATGTTTCTTACCAACATAACCATCAGTATCTTTCCTACCCAGGTAGCGTACACTCTGAAGCAGGCCTGCGCAGATAAAAAAAAGAAAAGAAAAGAAAAGAAAAGAAAAGGAGGAGGAAGTTGTCACGATGAAATTAAGACGAGGATACGATAAAAAAAAAAAAAAAGGAAAGAAAAGAAAAGAAAAGGAGGAGGAAGTTGTCACGACGAAATTAAGACGACGATATGATAAATGGAAAGTAAATGATGGGAACTTTGCAGATTATAAATTTATATTGGTATAGAGAGGAAAGAATGACTTATCTAGATTTGGTTTGCGGATCCAAATAAAAAAATATATATATTTTTCGAAAAACAAAAAAACAAGAATATTTTAATCATTTAATGGAAAAAAAAAAGTTAGTAAATTTCGATTGATATATAGTTTTTTTTTTTCTTTTTTAAATTAGTCATTGAAAACATTTTCTATATAGAATGGATAAAAAAAAATAGGATTAAGTGAAAACAATTTTTAGCAAATAACAACAATTTTTTTTAAATTAGTCATTGAAAACATTTTCTATATAGAAAGGATAATAATGCAAAACAGCTCCTTACAGTGGACATCTCGACGTAGCAAGGGCTCTCCTATTTCTACGTAGACAAAGAGAAATATTAGTTTTATATACAAAATGAAAACACAAAATAAAAATGAAAAAGACAAATATCAAATGATTTTTTTTCCCCTTTTTCTCTTTGAAACACAAAATAAAAATTGAAATATTACTCATGCACTAGGCAAGACTGGCTTTGAATCCAACTAAAATGCCATGCCAAAAATACTTTTTCATTAGTATTTTTTTTTTCTTTGCAGTAAATATAAAACTAAGAAAGACATATAATGACTATATGGGATAAAAAAGATCACCCAAAACGCAATTTTTTATTGGTTGAATGAGTCCTAATTAGTCTTGGTCACAATTCAGATTTGAACCAGAACTGATTTACAATCATAATAACCGTTCAAACCCAACTTGAAATGGAGTCCATGGAAATGAAACGTACCATAACAGTAATTCGTAATGTTGGCAATGTCTAGGTTGCAGCGGTTTCCTGATAGTTGTCACAGCAAGCCCTAAACCATGAAATCTCAAACCCATATGACATAATGCGGTGAATATCCAGATATGAAATGTCCATCTCTTCTTTTGGCAGAAAAGATGCCATAACTATCTGCTCAACACGGCAAGAATCCACCAAATCCATCACAGAAGTAGAGCGAGAGACAAGCATTATATACCAATAACCTGAATTATGATAATTGAATTAATATAATATTGCAGTTATAATTAACTTATTAGGGTTATAATTAACTTATTAGGGCCTTGCTCTTTTGTTAAATGTTAATGGACTAGACTGCTAAAATTAATAATAATAACCTCACCTGAATAATACGTGCTATTGATGCAAGGATGAGTATCCACATAAAGTTGAGAATCCAGTATTCGATGTTCACAGTTTACCAAAACTATGCTCTTATTGTACTCAGCCTCATAAACGTAAGCTTCTGGCAGATAAAACGTAAAATATGCTCTTATTGTACTCAGCCTCATCACGGAAAAGGTTCAAAGAATGGCGAGGAAAGGAGGAGCAGTTATCCTTTTGGATAAGGGCATCTACTACTCGAATTGTGAAGTTATTGTAATTAATAGACAGAACGTAATATTTAGCTGAATCCAAGTTAATACTTTAAGCTCGAATCCAAGTATTATTACTGCGAAGGTGTTTTCACAACACAAGCTTGAACGTTTCTGGTTGCCGCAGGTTGTCCGGTTCAATCAGTCGTTAGCGAAAAGGGTAGCCTTATGGTTACTGATATCGCCGCAAGAAACTGCGTTGCACCTGAATCATTATGCTTCTTGCCTTTTCTCTATGCACACGCCAACCATGGAGGGATGGCACGTATTAATTTAACAATTATAATAACTAGAAAAAGAAGGTTGAGTATCTGCTGATCATTTTCATCGCGACCTGATGAGACAGAGAGAATTGATCATTAATTATGTGAGCAGGTACTTACTTTTGGTCGTCGCCTGGAAACTCAAAGCGACTTTCCAAAAACATTGCACACCACAAGTCCTTCCTTTTAAAAGTCAATGTCCCCATCAAGGTCTTCCCTTTTACAGTCAATGCCCCATGGAATAATAGTCTCAGATTATGTCTTTATGCGACAGTCTCCTTCACAGGAAGCTGCGACGAAAGCCTTCAAAGGGAAAAGTCTCATTTTAAGGCAACCATTATTGGCCCATTGTCATACTTCTTATGGACGACTAGTGTGTATTCTATTAATTACTGTCTCGTATGTATTCTCTTTTTCAAAAAAAATCACTTAGTAGTCATGATGATAAAAAGGTTCTCAAAGTTTACTATGCACTGCTGACAATATTATGCAGGATATATAATGATAGTGGCAAGGGACTTACTAACTGACACAAGGCAGAACTGTCAAAAAGGCACGCTAGGAGATTGATAGCACTAACTTGACAAATTCCTGGAAGGAGAGCTCCGGGGAAACGCCTTTAATTCTGGAGGTGACAACACCTTCTGGTTCATGGATTACTAGCACTTAACTTCTACTCATTCCTCCTCCTCGGCTTTCGTTTCCTACCTGCCAACCCTGTGCCGAAAATTCAACCACCACGCACCAAGCTTCACAGTCCCAAAGCTTTGGAAAATGGGTCTAAAGATGCAAAACAGAGATATAGTGTTTTCAAAAATCCCTACACGAACCCACTCCAAAGGTTTATGACATATTGGTCTTGCACCTATAAGGAAAATGGCTTGCGGTAGAAATAAAAAAAGATTGCTACTCCTCATCACTTCTGTTTTTGGATTTTTCAGTTCTGATTGCTTTTTTAATAATACATAACCCATACCAAATTATGATGCTAACCTTGTGGTGATCTTGCAAATCCTCTCTTAATGTATCTTTCTCTGGTTGGTTTCTGGTCAAAAACTAATTGTAAAAGCCAAAAGCAACTACACCAAATGCACAGTAATCCTTGCGCCAAGCTTAACGGCAATATCAAGTCTGTAAAACGCCTACAAATGAAAAAACAACTAAGGAACTAGGCGATAAAGGGGAAAAAGGAAAGAAGTTTTTTCTTTTCACTGTAAACTCAATGTAATAGATAAGTGACAGGCCATTTTGGGTCTACCCATCTTAATTTTTGAAAACTCACATTTCAACGACTTTTTACCTGAAAAACTTTAACTTTCATACCCAGTATAGTTCTTAACGGATATTTGGTGCCTACCAGACCTTCTGACTGCTCCAGAAACTTGCTTTCAAGTTGACTTTGAAGCTGCTTCAGACAACTTTATTAGGCTGCTGGGGTTAAAATTCTGCATCTCAGCTAAGCCTTCACCTTCAACGGGAAAAGATTCGATGAAAGGGGACCATTTTTCGGGCTTGGTTTTTCTGAAAATTTTCTGCACTGGACTGCGAGATTTTGGATTGGAGATCCTCTCTTTCCCTGCTTGCTACTCATATTCTTTGAGTCGTGTAACCTACTTCTTGTTACAACACCTGTACATTCGCGGTAAAGTTCTTTGTGCATCTGAATAAGCTTCTTTCGCCTTCTGTATGATTTTTCACAGTTCGACTCCACTTCACGAATTTGCAAGTCACTCCGCTGGACCTCTCATCCTTTCCAAGTTTGAATGGCATCTACTTTTTGGTAGTATGTTGGCAATGTGTCTGACAACTTTCCCAACTACTATTCATTCACATATTCTAACGATTTTCAGAATCCGCAAGCAAGGCCGCCATAACAAGATCACGTATGCTTTTGTTGTTCTTGGTGTAGTTCTCTCATTCCAAAAGTTACAGGTAGTATTTGCCATTTAATCTAGGCACATTTTTTCTACCCTTGTTAGAAATTCTCGTTCAGCAGATTCTTCCACCTATAAAACTTGGTAGCAAGGCACCCTTCCCAGTCAAATGCGCGAAACCCAATCTGGAAATGGATTGCAAACCTCGTAGAGATCAACCAATTCAATTGGGGCTTGAATCAACTAAAAACGGTTAATAATTTAGGCATTAGAAAATAGCATATCATAACTTTTGGCACCTTAAGCTTGCAGCGACAACCTTATAGCTCGCCATTTTATTTGTTTTCTAATCTAATTTTGTTTCTTAAACAAATACTAGGACAGAAACTTTCTGAAGCAAATAGATTTATACTTCGATAAAAACAGGTCGTTTGAAATTTTACTAGAATCATTATTTGAATTAAATATTTTTAATACATTACGTCTTAGACCACAGAGAACAACGGTTGAATTGAAGGAGTTACAAAGTTATTTATTTTCCTCAGGAAGAAAAAAGGCACAATTTCACCAGAACTGAAAAGCCACTTGAAAGCGTTTCGGGACCTATTTATGAAGGGCCGTTTATTGCCCAATTGTGATCTTCCATCCCTGGTTTTCAAGGAGTAATGGTGGCATGCATTTTTCCTGGATATTGGTGGCACGAGTAAAAGCAGCTCTTTCTCCTTAAGCTTTGATTTACAAATACCAAGTAAAAAGCACCAAACCCCAAAAATTTCTTTTACTCCAAATCCTTTTGATAGATATTATATTTTGCCAAATCAGATTTTAAGAGAAACGCCGAAAACAATTAAGAAAGAGCCATACCAAAAATAAGAATCCCAAGTTTCAGATAACGCTTCACAGGATTCCAAAACTGTCCCAAGGTAGATTTGCAAAAAAACTAGGCATGCTCTAAATACATTTAGGCATCAAGAAAGTGACCAACCCCACTTTTATTCTATATCTTTCTAAAGTAGGTTAACATGGATGTTTCCGGTTTCTTTCTTTCTTCTTTTTCCCTTTTTTGCATCACTATACTCTCTGTCAATTAGTTATAACCATCCATTAAAAAAGAACATTTCACTGAAAAAAAAAGATCTTATATTGGAAAATGCAATTCAACACAGATTGAGGGCAACCTTGAATATTGTAGGCAGAAGGCCTTCAGCTTGCTTTAAAATCCTTATCTGGCGTACAAGCTTACCAGTATAATTAAATTGGCAAGGAATATTAAGAAGTTTCCAATTTTCAACAATTTTTACTTAAGATAAGAAACAAAAAGGAAGACACCTTCCGGCCAACTTCCCAGCCAAAGCTTACTTTCAAATTAAAACCCAATTCCTTCATTTATCGATTTCGGAAACCTTTTCTTAGATTAGATCAGAAATTTCTTGCCCATCAATTCCTCGACCCAGAAAACCAAACTTAAGTACAAACCAATACAAAGCCAATAAATAAACTAACAAATCATACTCGCCTTAAAGCAAACCCAGCAGCAGGCAATCCCTTTCTGTTCCCGGACTTAACCAGCCACCAATCGTTTCAGTAACACCTGGATTAAATACAAACAATCAAACAAAACCATCCACCGAACACTTAACCAACGGCAACTACTTCAATACATAGCATAAACAGATAAAAGGGAACTGATAGTACAAAAAAAGGGAACCGTATAAAAAGAGAAAGTTTCAGGATTCTTTACAGATTTGAGGACAAAAGAAAGAGACAGGAAAAACGCGGATTCTGATCAGATCTGGAGAACGCGAAACGACGATGCTTCTTGGGGTTTTCTACATACTGCTAACGCATAGCTTCTCCACTTCATTATCCTTTACAGAGAAAGATTGGACGGGAAAGGTGGTTTTTCTCTCTTAAGCCACAAACATTAATTATATATATAATAAATAAAAATAAAAAAAAATATTAAAAAAAAAAAAGCCAATCCCCGCCTTTAACCAAATTTTCTTTCTCCTACCCAGGCCACACCATATACTACTTTCTTCTGTCCTCGGGTCTTATTTTTTTATTTTCAATTTAACGATATTTTCTTCTTATTTTTTATTCCTCTAAATACAACTTTTAAACAATACCAAATTTTGAGCAGATCATAACAAATTTTATAATATAATAAATAATGTTTTCGTCCATTCTAAAATTCTTTGGGCCTCACCTTCTTCATTCATTGTTTTAAATTTATTTAGTCCATTTTCCTTTTTTTTTTTTTAGAATAAGATAATTTTTATTTTATTTTTTATTTAATCTGTGCATTTTCTTACGAACTCTAAAACTATTACGTTTGATATTAATATTAACCAATTCCATAACTTAATTTTGAATTTCTTCTTCAATTAAAATTTCCAACGATGATATTATATGGAATCAATTATTCTTGGGATTGTGAGACAGAGTGAAACCTCTTTCTTGAGCTTCTACTTACATATATTTTCTAACTCTTCTCCTCTCTT